ATCCGATCAACTCACGCAGAGGATTGAGGCGTGCCATACTGCTAATCTTGACAAGCCGTATTACCTTCATTGTAATCGACATTGGCGAGTCTCTGCGAGAGCTCGTCCAGGATCTTCAGTGGCCTCGCTGCTCTCTCTTCCTCTTCCTCGAGTTTTACTTGTCTTTCACGAAGCTGATTAGTCACAATAGCGACGCAACTAATCCTCACAAAGAACTATTGAACTACTTCGGCGTCGACCGTTTTTGTATATTGTAATTGCTTTCGAGCTTTTACTTCACGTTCCTGTTCGGAGACTGAAGAGAGCAGATCAATCTCCATGGTGCGATGTCCGAACTTTCGATATTACCCTGCGCCTCAGCCCAGAGTTTGAGCCAATTGCTGAGGTATTCAACAGGCTCAACAGATCCGTGCTCCTGCTGATAGAGATCAGCCAGTGCACGGCTCAGCACAGGCGTGATGGTTCCGGCAGCGTAAGTGTCGAACTCACTCATTACACTGGAACGTAAACCTTCAGGAGGTTCAGTTCAGTTCTAGAGATCAAAATTAATTCCGGAACTGTAGTCTGCGAGCGTAAACTAGATACAGAGTAAATTGAATTTACTCGAAGAGTTCATTTCAATCGCTCGTGAGGGGCGAGCGAGTCGATCTCAAACGGAAAGATGCGTTCTTGTACCGCTTCGCTGCGACGTAATCGATCACGCGATCGATTCCTTCAGCGCGTGGTCCCCTATTAATTCATCAAACCCCTCAGTGGTTAAACTGATTGGAGAGCCGTTAGCTCACAGTCCCCACACATCATGGCACCTCGCGATCCCAAGAAGCTTGCTAAGAAGACCGCTTACCTCGACAGAGTGAAGGACCTCCTCGACACTTGCGAGAAGATTCTCATCGCCTCCGTTGATCATGTCGGATCCAACCAGTTGCAGCAGATCCGTATTGGTCTCCGTGGCAAGGCCATCATCGTCATGGGTAAGAACACTATGCTCCGTACCGCCCTCAGACAGTACGAGGAGGAGCACGACGCTGATCTCGGCCATCTCTTGAATGTCATCAAGGGTAACATCGGTCTTATCTTCTGCATGGCTCCCATCGACGAGATTCGTGAGATCATCTCCCAGCACAAGTTCCCGCTATGGCTAAGCTGGTATGGTTGCTCAGTGCAATGTCGATATCCCCGCTGGTCCCACCTCTTTGGACCCCTCTCAGACCAACTTCTTCCAGGCTTTGAACATCGCCACTAAGATTGTCAAGGGTTCCATTGAGATCTCCAACGATGTCGC